GCTGGTTACACAAACACGGAGAATGAGAACAGGCCCAGAGACCAAAGGTTCTCTTCCTCTGTAAGATTCCTTCATTTACAATTCTAAGTGATACTCATAAAAATTAACAGAAGCAAACTTCATTAACCAAGTCTCTGAAAATCATTCTCTCAATATCTAACACTATCCCTGGAGTCTCTCTTTCAAACTCCTTCAAGTTCATGCCTAGACTTTGCAGGCCCTCCCATCTGATATCTCCCTCGTCATCTTCCAAGATACATTTTGAGTTGTTCTGTTGTAACCTATCAATCTCTGAACACAGAGTCTGCAGAAGTTGCTCCCCTTTTGATATTTTCTCCATTGTTGTAAGTGAGTTTGCGGTTAACCGTGGTTTGGTACAGCCTTCTGCAGTGAACCTCTGAGCTAGAATCTCGTTAACGGTGTCGAAGACTAGTTTTCTCCTGATTTTCTCTGTGAGGTTTGTCTGCTGTTGTCTGAATCCTCTGCCTCTGTGTTTGTTGTCCACTAGAGTCATATTGCTGGCCTTGTTCTGTTCCAGGATGAAGAACAGTCCGGGATTGATTGGGAGGCGCGTTTGGTGCAGCTGAATGCTTATCATGTTGTATTCAAGATCTCTTAGAATCCCTGATGACAACAATATCTCTGAGATGTACTTGTGGTCGCCGCTTTTGACGTCTGCACCTTCTTTAGGGAAGCATTCGAGGAGATCAGAGTCTGCCTGTGTCGGACCCCGGTTACTCTCAGGCAATCTGCAGTAGCCAGCAGGCTTGTTGATCCACTCAGATTCTCCAGAACGTAAAGCATCGTCGTCTGTGGTAAGAGAACAAAGAAAGGTGAGAATTTTCCTCAAACCAAAACCTTGTTAATTGACATCGATGAACTTTAAACTTGTATATGACTGAGTCACTAATCAGCGTAAAGATTATTCTTTTGCAAGTGCCTCACCTTTAAAACTAAGGGATATCTTCCTCACAGGGGACGGTGAATCTTCTTCGTCGAAGGCTGCATCAAGAACTGAAACGGGGCTTGGTTGTTCAACGGTAACTTTCAGAGGTTTTAGAGACGGTCTGTCTTGTTTGATTCCAAAGTCTGGACTCTGCATTGGTAAACAGAGAGAATCAGTTAAATGAGTACTAATGAATTAACTTGATAAGTGCAAAATTCGTGAGAGTGAGAGAAAGAGATCTATTTATACCCTTTGTTTTGGGGTGTGCATCTCTGGGAAGTCACAGTTCCTGTCCAACCTCTGTCTGCTTGTAACCTCGATGTCAACATTCGATCCCAAGCTTATGTTGCTGTCAGATCTTAGACTTATCAAGTCACAGCTTGCATCGCTTAACCGGTCATCAGGTTGCTGAAGAGTATTGCGAGGTTTTATCCCCTGTTTTCTTCTCGGGGAGGCTAACTCTGTTTGCTGCCTTCCGACTTGCCTTTTGCCTGGCTCTGACTTTGGAGTTGTGGGTCGAGACTGCCTCTCGATCCCGAGCTTTTTTGGCTGCGTTCTTGGGCTGACACTGAGCTGTTGGCTCCTACCTAGCTTGGTCATTGAACAAGAATCAGCAGCCGAAGCTTGCCTCGACCGTAATGTTTTTGGGCTATTGCTCTTCGTAGAATCAAGTTGGCCCTTGTAAAGACCTGGCCTTGGGGTTAGATCCATCGCATTCTGCTTTCCCGAGGTAACTTTTCGGGTTTGTCTAGAGTTTCCAACCTTGACATTTGGTAAGGCGACATTCTGTGGAAGCGAAGAGGTGGAAACTGGAGCTGCCGATTTCACAAAAACGATGGATGAAGATTTGAAGTTCATGGCTGGACTTGTTGCAGCTGGAAGTGGCTGGTGAGCTCTCTGCATATGATGAGTGGTTGTACTCAGAGTACTGTCATCCCTGCTTCCATCCATCAACTGCTGAGTCTTCTCCATAGCCTCAAGTATTTGCTTGAGAGCTCTGAGATCTTTCCCTGACTGTTTGAACTCCAACTGCGTAAGCCGCTTCTGAATTTCACCATAAACCGTCAATGCAGCATCGCCTGCTTTCACTTGCTTCCATGGAGCTGGTTCCATTGGAAACTTAGAAGCAGCTGAAGCAGGTATCCTCTTGATTGAATCAACGCTTCTAGATCTCTGTAGAACTGTTGGTTCCACTCGGGACATTGGCCTTGGGGAGTCGCAAAACCGGTTCTCTTTTCTCTGCTCGGTATCATCAAAATTGTCTGCAATGACTTCAAGACCCATCAGCTTTGCAACAACACTCGAATTCGATCTTCTGTGACTAAGTGTTGCTGGTTCCTCTGGTGAAAACCTTGATCTCGCGGCATCAGCTCTAGGACTCTTAAAGGAATTGGATCTACTATCCAAGGACAACCTCGGTGTCTCTTTCAACTTCGAGCCCGTCTTGTATCCGTTGTTACTCATTTCTCTCTCGTCATAAGAAAGCCGATGACTTTCCTTAAACTTCACAGCCATTCCTCTTCCTTCATTCCACTCATTAGAATTCCGAGATGGCGAACGCAATGATGATTCTTTGATAAGCAGTACATTAGTTCTAGCTGAATTGGGCTGCTTCTGCTGAGTGAACGCTGCTGCCTCTTCACCTCTGGTTCTCATTTCTCTATTGATAGAGCCTTTGACTAGCTCCTTTAGATCAAACGGCATCGTCACTCCACCATTGGGTTGCTCTCTGATCAGATTGTCACCAGGCTGGTCAAATTGAGATGCTGTGGTACTACTGACTTCTGCAGACGAAAAGCTCGAGGAGCGTGGAGAAGACGAAAACGAAGGCCTTGAAGATGATTCAGAAGAGACTCTATGCTTCTCCTTTGCTACAGG